GGATTTATGTCTGAAAATGGAGGTATATGCTAGACTTAGGTAACTTTAGGTAGGCTTGTGAACTGTCAAAATACAAAATTATAACAAATTTAGTTTAAAGATCTTAATTGGCTTTTATTTGCAATTCTAGAATCGGGCAACACCTCATTCCATAAAATGGAATGAATGTTCCCATGAACTGAGCAGAGGAAGTTGACTGTATAGACAGAAAAAGGCTGAGGAAAACAGGAAATAAAAAGTGGGTTGGTTGTTTCAAGGTTACTTTTCTTGTAAAGATTAAAGCAGAGGGGACTTCCTCATCGTGCCAGGTAAACCTCTTTTCAAATCCTTTTGCTTCAGCCCCTGCCCATTCTGTTCCCTGTGCCTGGAATACCCTTTCCCTTTCCAGCTGAACCTGTTCTCTCATCCTTCAGCTTTTGGCTTAAGTGTTACTGCCTCCAGGCAGCCCACATGATTGCATCTCTCACATGACTTGTGAGGTCTTGTTTGCCAATCTGCTTCTGTCACAAGGCTTCTTGATGGTGGGTGGGTATCTCCTCAGTGCCTGGCCCAGACCATGTGGTCAGTTAGTAATAGTGGACACGTGCCAGTTGCCACCTTCGCCCATGTCGTTATTGGGTCAAATCAGCCCATCCCTTTTCCCTCCCAGTCCCCAGCTTCCTGTTCCTCTCTGTCCCCTGTAGTTTTCTCCTGACTCAGACCTTCTCTGTCCGGCTTTCCTTTCCTCTCCTCTTCTAGCCAGACTGTTCAGATGCTCTGTCTGCTGTTTCTTCGCTCTGGAAGCTGCTTCTTCCCTCGTAGGCCTTTTGATTACTGGGTGTTTGCCTTTTCTGACTCAGCTGCAGCTGGCCCATTTCCACTGCACTTGACCTCTGCCACCCTGACCTGGGCCCTCGTCCTCTCTGCCTGCTGAGACTTTCTCCGTGGCCCTCTTGCAGCACACGTGGTGCAGGGCCAGGGCCCTGCTCAGGAAGTGGTGCAGAGATCGGGGGAGGGTGAAGCCACTCCCTTCCTCCTTGCCAAGCAGGCCTGTGTAGGTTAAAAGAAATTGTACTAGAAATCCAAGCCAAAAACCCAGCTTCAGGGGAAGCAGGTAAAGCGAGCAGGGAAAGAAAGATCTTAGGTGGTGACAAGAACCACGTGCAAAACAGAAATGATCATGAAGAAAAGTTAATTAAACAAAGCAAAGCGAAACAGAAATGATCCCCTGTGGTCGGTTGAATAGTGCCACTCATCCCCAAGGGTGTTTGCATCCTGGTTCCCAGAACCTCCGAATGTGTTACTTTATATGGAAAAAGGGTATAAGTATGATTAAGTTAAGGATTTTGAGATGGGGAGAATATTCTGCATTATCCAGGCAGGCTTGGTGTAATCACAGGCTTCCTTATAAGAGGGAGACGAGATGAGGGAGAGAAGATACATGCTTCGGGCTTTGGAGATGAAAGAAGGGACCAGAGGCCTAGGAGCACAGGCAACTTCTAGGAGCTGGAAAAGGCAAAGAAATGGATTCTCCCCTAGGGCCTCCAGAAGGAAAGCAGCCATGTGGGCCCACTTTAGATTTCTGACCTCCAGAACTAAGATAATTTGGCCACATGAGAATGTTGCTTTGACTGCAGTTTTAGAGAGGGAAGCTGGAGGATATATCAGTATTTGCTGCATTACAAATTACCCCAGAACTTAGCAGCTTAAAATAATAACGAACATTTACTATGTCACATGGTTTTTCTGGGCCAAGAATCAGAGAACAGCTTAGCCGGGTGGTTCTGGCTCATGGTCTCTCATAAGGTGGTCATCTGAAGGTTCGACTGGGGCTGCAGGATCAGCTTCCAGGTTGCACGTGGTTGGCAAGTGAGTGCTGGCTATTGATGTCTCTACATGGGGGCTTCTCTGTAGGACTGATAGAGTGTCTTCAGGACATGGCAGTGGGCCTTGTGCAGAACGTGTAATCCAAGAGGGTGCAAAACAGAAGTCATGGTGTTCTCTATAACCTAGTCTTAGAAGTGATGGTCTGTCATTTCTGCAGTATTTTATCCTGAGTGGGGAGAGAGACTGCAGGGGCTTGAATACCAGGAGGTGAGGATCGTTGCAGGCTACTTTTGAGGCAGTTTGCCATGGGGTTTGTGGGGCAGCAACACAGTTGGGCTGGGTACCCAGTTTTAGCAAATCTCTGATTTTTGGACAAGCCACATAACATCTTGGAACCTCAGATTCTACCTGAAAAGCGAATGGGTTGGATTGTGCTATGTTTTGTTCCCTTCTAGCCCTGACATGAAATTGATTTATATAGTGCTGATCATTTGACATTTAAAAAAAAAAAATCTCTGTAAGACAAGGACAACTTTTTTTTTCTTTCTGATAAGAGCTTTATTGAGATGTAATTCATACCCTATCCAATGCTCCCATTTAAAGTGTACAATTCAATGATTTTCAGAATATTCACAGTTGTGCAGTCATCAGCAATTTTAGAACATGTTCATCACCCTGAAAAGAAGGCTCACATCTTTTAGCTTTTACATCCCCAGTTCCCCAACCCCCAGCCCTACGCAGCCCTTACTCTACTTTCTATCTATATAAATTTGCCTGTTCTGGCATTTCACGGAAATGAAATTATACTCTATGTGGACTTCTGTGTCTGGTTTCTTTCACTTAGTATGATCTTTTCAAAGTCCATCCATGTTGTAGCATGTATCAGTTTTATAGATAAATAATACTGTGTTGTATGGGTATGCCACAGTTTGTGTATCTGTTCAGCAGTTGACAGACATTTGAGTTGTTTCCATCCTTTTGGCTATTATGAATATTGCTGCTATAAAAATCCATTGACAAAGTTTTATGTGGACATGTGTTTTCTTTTCTCTTGGATGTATACCTAGGAGGAGAATTGTTGGGTTGTATAGTAATTCTACCATTAACTTTTTAAGGAGTTGCCCGACTGTTTTCCAAAGTGGCTACATCATTTATATTCTCACCAGCAGTGCATAAGGAATATTTCTGATTTCTCCATATCCTTGCAAACATTTGTTTTTGTCTGACTTTTTGATTATAGCCATTCTAGTAGGTGTGAAGTAGTATCTCATTGTGATTTTGATTTCTCTGATGACCAATGCTGTTACAGAACAACATTTCATGTGCTTACCGGCCGGTTGTATGTCTTCTTTGGAGAATGCTCTTTACATCCTTTGCCCCTTTTTAAACTGGGTTTCCTTTTTCTTCTTAAGTTGTAGAGTTCTTCATATATTCTAGATGCAAGTTCCTTATCAGATTTTTGATTCACAGATATTCTCTCCTATTCTGTGGGTTGTCTTTTCACTTTCCTGATAGTGTCTTTTGAAACACAAAAGTTTTTTATTTTGATTTTTTATTTTGAGGTTGAATTATCTATTTTTTCTTTTGTTACCTGTGCTTTTGGTATCATATCTAAGAATCCATTAGCAAATTCAAGGTCATAAAGATTTACACCCGTTTCCTTCTAAGAATTTGGTAGTTTTAACTATGTGTTTAAATCTGAGTCATTTTGAGTTAATTTTTATATATGATGTAAGATTAGGGCCCCACTTCATTTTTTTTTTGCATGTGGCTATCCAGTTTCCCAGCACTATTTGTTGAAAAGACTATCCTCAATGGTCTTGAAACCTTGTCAAAAATCCATCTGGTTTATTTCTGGACTCTTAATTATATTGTATTGATTTATATATGCCTATCTCAAATAGTCTTTGTTTTGTAGTAAGATTTGAATTCAGGAAGTGTTAGTATTCCAACTTTGTTCTTTTTTAAGATTGTTTTGGCTATTCTGGGTCCCTTTAGTTTCCATGTGAATTTTAGGTCTAGCTTGTTCATTTCTACAAAGAAGCCACTGGGATTCTGATAGGAATTGCACTGAATTTGTAGATCAGTTTGGGGCTAGCATTCTTCTAAGCCCTTTACTTACATCAACTCATTCAACTTTCACATCAATCTTATGAAGTAGGTCCTGCTTTTATTCACATTTTACAGATGAGGAAACTGAGGCCTAGAGAGATTAAGGAACTTGCCTAAAGTCCCTGAGTCTGTGTAAGCTGCCTCTTGGCTGTGACTTGTCTTTGGTGCTGCCATCCCTGGAGGGTGACGTTCTCTGGCCCTCTCCCTGGGCCTGTGGGCTGCAGTCTTGGCAGACCCTACAACTCCTTCACTTCTTTGTGTCCTAGGCAGCCGATGAAGATCGTGTACTCCTCCAAGGATCCTGCCAAGGCGAAGGGGAGTTCCAAGGAGGATGTGAACGAGGAGGCAGAAGCTTTGATTGTCAAGTTCCCCCAGAAGGAGCGGGACCCCTCCCTCTTTAAGGTGTTATACAAGACCTTCGGGCCCTACTTCCTCATGAGTTTCGTATTTAAGGCCATCCACGACCTGATGATGTTTGCTGGCCCCGAGATCTTAAAGTAAGACCTATTCCCTTCCAGTTGGGCTCCTTTGGGCTTCCTTGGGTTGACCTTTCACCTGTGGTCCTCATAACCCCTCCCTTAGGGTTGTGTGGTGTGCTGAAGTGGGCTTACAGCCAAGCGTCCTCTTCTTTGCCTGCTTTGCTTTATGCTTTACTTAGTTAACATCATAGTTAAGGTGACATTGGTTGCAGGTAGAAGAAACCCCCTAGTCTCCCCTGAAGCCAGAATGTGGAGGATATGGTATTGTCTTGGGAAACCAAGAGCAAGGAAATGCCAGCAGATGTCATGAAAAATTGTGACCAGAAACCAGAAATTCCAAAAAGAGGTCACCTCTCTCTTCCCTCCCTTTCTGTCTCTCCGGGGCCACACATTTGTTCTCTCTCCCTCCTTACCTCTGTCCCTTATGGTCCCTATTTGGTCACCTTGGATGACTTGCTGGTGACAAGACAAAGCCATCAGCACAAAAATCCCATGGCAGAGGCCCCTGTTACGAGTGGTTTGGGTGCCTGCAGTCAGATCCCCACTGTGGGCTTGTTTTTCCATCTGAGATTGAAGTAACAGTGCCCAGCTTGCCTGGCTCAGGGGCAAGGTCACTATGCTGGCCTGACCGTGCATGGGAAGCTCCAGTCACCCCGGGCTGTCTCCTCTACAGATTGCTCATCCACTTCGTGAATGACCAGCAGGCCCCCGACTGGCAGGGCTACTTGTACACGGCGCTGCTGTTCGTCAGCTCCTGTCTGCAGACCCTGGTGCTGCACCAGTACTTCCACATCTGCTTCGTCAGCGGCATGAGGATCAAGACCGCCGTCATCGGGGCCGTCTATCGGAAGGTAGGGGATCAGAAGCACGCGAGCCAGCTCTCACATCCCCTCATGCAGACTCAGAATCTGCAGGGACTTGGCCAGGCCCCTCCAGGGCCAGCGTGGGGATTTCCAGCCTGCACATTGCCTAAATGACTACAGGTGGCAAAGACATGACCGTCAGGCATTGCCCCTTAGCAAAGCTGATTTCATGGGTCTTTGTGCAGAACGTCCATGAGTGCCCATGTCAGCGTGGGTAACTGAGTTTCTTAGATGGATTGGTGGTCCTTGATGTGGGGAAATCTAAGTTCAGATTCTCACTGTGCTATTAGTCTTCTGTGTTTGAGCTTATTCTCACTCCGTTTGAACTGAGCAGGTGGTACATGCCCTGTGTGATAGAGTATGACCTAGCAGGCTCTCGTGCACATCCAGCTTTAAAGGAACCACATTCCCTTCTCAATACCTGAATATCTTAGCCTCTGGGGCAAAGACACTACCTGGCCCCTGGGTTGGGAGAAGACATTCTCACAGATAGTCGGGAAAGACAGACGAGATCAGCTTTGTCTGTGAACTAGACTTACCTGGGAGCTTAAAAACTCCTGATGCCGAGACTGCACCTGAGACCAAGTCAAGGTGGTCATACTCAGGTGTCAGTATTTTTAAAACTCCCTAGGAAACAGTGTGCAACCACATTTGAGCACTGGTGGCCTAGACCAGTGGTTCTCAGACAGGCAAGTTTGCCCACCTCCCACCCTCTTGGGGGTGTTTACCAATATCTGGTGACAGTTTTGGTTGCCACAACAGGGGGTGAAGGCATCTACGGGGTAGAGGCCAGGGATGCTGCTAAGTACCCTATACTGCACAAGATAGCCGCAAAAAGAATTCAGCCCCAGATGTCAGGAACACCGTGATTGAAAAACCCTGGCCTGAAGGGTATGGGTTCAGATCTTTGTATCAGCTAGCCACCAAAAAAAAAAAAAAAGTAGAAAAACCCTGGCCTAGACCCTTGGTCCTTCAGTGAAATCTGGGATCAGCAGTGTAGATGTGATCTGGGTGCTTGTTAGAAATGTGGCATCCCGGGCCTCACCCCAGACCTGCTGAGTCAGAAACTGCACTGTATCACACTCCCTAGGTGGTGCATGTGCACACTGAAGTTTAGAGGATGTTCAAGGTCCCTTCCAAATTGAAGAGCTCAAGATGGGGAAGCAGCAAGTGCAGTTGATAAGAATGGGAGTTTTGTGATGACACAGGTAGGCTGGGAAGTCAGCTAGGCCGGCGGGGAGGAGAAAACATCTGTCTGTGCTGCTGAGTCTCCTTCCTCTCCTTGGGCCTTGGACGGAGAGTGTAGGGCTCCCCATCTGCCACACTCACCCTCTTTCCCCCTGTCCTTAATCCCACAGGCCTTGGTGATCACCAATTCAGCCCGAAAATCCTCCACTGTCGGGGAGATCGTCAACCTCATGTCTGTGGACGCTCAGAGGTTCATGGACTTGGCCACGTACATTAATATGATCTGGTCAGCCCCTCTGCAAGTCATCCTTGCTCTCTACCTCCTGTGGCTGGTGTGTGTTTGACATCGTTCCCCTTCATGTGTAGTGGGGGGACTTCCACGTGGGGGCTGTGGGGGTGAGGGACTAGGTGTGATGGTAGGAGTCTCTGTAGCTCCCTGGTATTTCTTGCTGTCATTAATTTTATTTTCTGGCCCATTTCCAATTCCTGGATATTTTATTCCTTCCCTGAGTGGTCAGGTTTGTGTTTTCTTTAGTGGCATAGTGTGTGTTTGCATTTGTTTCTTCTTGACTGTGTATATGTAATTAACAACCCTGCAGTGTACACATCGTATTTCTCCTACTGTATCCTCCCACACGCTAACCAAACTTACTTATTCACTAGTCCCTAATTATGTTAGTCAAGATTCGCTCAGTTGCAAGGGATGGAAGTCCATCTTAAAAAGCCTGAGCAAATAAGGGAACTTCGGAGGTGCATATACCTGAAAAATCTAGGGGGCCTAGCTTCAGGCATGGATTAATCCAGGAGGTCAGGCAGTGTCGTAAGGACTCAGTCTCACTCATTTCTTCATCATTTCTTGGCCCTGTTTTCCTCTGTGTTGGCTTCTTTCTCAGTGGGATTTCCCCAAATGGCTTCTATAACTTTGGATGTAATTTTCACAGATTGCTAATTTTCATAGGTAGTGGTGCCAAAGAAAAGAGCAGACTACGTTCCTTTTTGCCCCGGCCACAGTCCCAGGGGAGCACTCTGATTGGCTGGGCACATTCCTGTTCACATTCCTGAACCAATCGCTGTGGCCTAGGAGGCAGAGTTCTCTGATTGGCCAGCCTAGGTCGTGTGCCCTTGCCCATTGCAGAAGATATGTGATCAACAACCCTTCTGCGTGGAGAGGGACAGTTCCCAGAATAAAAAGATGACAAGCAAAGAAGCTCATAGCAGAACACATGCCCTGTTTTTTCCCCCGCCTCTGGGCCTTTGCACATGCCTTTTCCCCCACCTCCCTCCCTTCCCACTGATGAAATCCCACTCAAGCCTGTGATAAATTCACTTCCACTGATTTTTCCCCCCTCTTAATTAAATGGACTTCCTTCTTGAATCTCAGTAACTTGAGTACAGGAACTCATCTGATTTTACCTTCTAAAATAGTTTTTTGCATGCTTGTTATGCTGCTACTTCCACGCCTGGTAGCATGTTAGCTACTTGTGGGCGTACAGCCTCTGACTTATTTTTGTATCCTCTGTGGGTGCAACCCCAGCAGGGCCTAGTGCATAACAGGCACACAACAAATTACCTATAGATTTGACTGTAGTTTACATTTTTTGTATATTTATAGAGCAAAAAGATGAATAAAGTTTTTCTAATAATGAAACTTAGAAAACAGCAGAATTTAAATATCTAAATAAACGTCTTTTCAGGTAGATATCTTGGGGTGTCTACTTTCCCAGAAAGTACTGCCAAGGACAAAAATATTTTTGGAATACTTCTTTTAGAATTGTCTCCAGGACTGGTTTGTGAACCATTTAGAAAATTGCTAAACATCACATCTTGTCTTAGATGAGGGTTGCTCAGCCTTGGTGCTGTTGACATTTGGGGCTGGATAATCCTTTATGGGGTCTGTCCCGTGCACTGTGGGATGTTTAGCAGCATTCCTGGCCTCTACTTAGTAGATGCCAGTAGCATCCCCCACCCCCAGTTGTGACAACCAAAAATCTCTGGACATTGCCAAATGTCTTGTGACATTTGGACATTGCCAAATTTGTCCCTGGCCTGGGAACCATTGCTTGAGACCGAAAATAGGATTTCTCTATTTCACTATTAAGAACAGGGTATAGAATAAGCAGATGACTGTGAGGGGCTCTGGAATCAGGCTGCCTGGGTTCGAATCCTGATGCTTCCGTTTCTAGCTCTGTGACCTTGGACAAGTTACTTAATGTTTCTAAACCCCAATTTTCTCATCTGTAAATTGATGATGATAATGGTACCTGTCATCATAGGGATATTGAGACAGTTACATGAATTAATGCAGGTAATGTTTAAAGAACAAACCGTACCTGCCCTGTATATTTTAGCTACTATTTGCTATCAGAGTTGATTCAGAATGCTTTGGTTGTTGGTAGGAATCACCTTCATCCTCATAGGTAGATTAGTCTTCACTGGGCAGAGATTTGTCACAAAACTATCTGGAATAGCAGCAACATTTTTCTGGAATTAGGACTAGAACCCCCAAGAAGGGTGACTTCTTTGAAGGGGTCATATTCCTGTTTTCCTGAATGTTTAAGGGGTGGGGGGTGAGGTAGGGGGAAGATCACCTTATCTTAAGTGTATGCATGTATGTTTCAGCTAAGTAAGTATATACTGGGCCTGATTCTCAAGATGTCTTTTTATTTGTGTAACTTAGAAGGAAGTAAAAAAGGTAGATCTCTAGCTTGTCTCAGCCACTGGCCACTTAACTTTCTGAGGCAGTTTTCTTATCTGCAAATGGAATAATAGAAGTTGTCTAAACCTCTTATCTACAAATCCCAAATTAAAAGGCTCTGAAAACAGAAAATCTTTCTTAACTCATTTGGTGGCAAAACCAAACTGAACTGATAAGGTAATTATAACCTTGATTACCCCTCTCAATGTGAATATTCCTGTTTTGCTGCTAGAAAATCAAGGCATTTGATGATGGAGTGCTGGGCCCTGCTGGGGTTGTAATGAAATATATGACATATACATTTTTGTCGGGGTGAGCAATTCACTAGGAGGACTCAGCATATAATCCTACCCATGGCTATAATTTTTTACAACCAAATTAGCCTTTGCTAAAAAAAAAAAGGTACATGCTTCCAGGAGACCTTCCCGACTGGAGTCACACAGGATGTGCTTAATTCCCCAGCAGCAAGTAATGATTACATGTGTGAAGTGTTGCCAACCAGGGAAGCTTGACAGACTCAGCATCCAGGATTTTTATTGAGGGCCAGTCACGTAGGTACCCTCTGCCTCGCATGTACCAAAATTCCAGACTCCCAGAAGGAAAGGGGTTGTTCAGCATAAACCCTATTGTCTGTACAAACAATTCAGGCATAGCGAGTCCTTCTTACCAGTTCTGTTAATGGTTGAAACCCTCCTGAAATGCAGGTTCCCAGATGCCAGCCAAGGGTCAAACTTGTAAGCAGCCTTCAAGCATGGTGAGCCATCAGCCGGCTGCATTAACTGTTTTCTACCCAGCACCTGTTAACTTTTCTAATGCTCTAATTTGTGAAACTCATCTGGCTCCAAGGGCTTTGGATAAAGGATCCTGACCTGCATGTTCGTTAATGGTTGAAAGGATCCCAAGAGATGCTCAGGAATAAATCTGCCAACTCTTAACACCTGATCCTTGTATAAAAGAAATGCACCTGTTCCCCAACTCACTGGGCAGAGTGCACGTGGGGCAGATCAGCCCGTGTAAGCTGTTAAGGCCCTTGTTCTCTCCCATCTGGTGACTGATGAAGAGTCTCCTTTACTTCCTAGAACCTGGGCCCCTCTGTGCTGGCTGGGTTGGCTGTGATGATCCTTATGGTGCCCATCAATGCTGTGATGGCGATGAAGACGAAGACCTACCAGGTAGGGTGTCTATCTTCACAGGGCTCCAAGCTGGGTCTTTGCCCGGGGCTTTTCCATGTGGGTTTTAGCTCAGCTCCTGCTCAGGCCCTGGGGTCCTCAGACTTGCTTGCCTGTTGGAACCACCTGGGAAGGAGCTTTAACAAATGCTGATGCCCGGGCCCTTTCCTGGGATTCTGATTCATTTAATGTGGGTGGGGCCTGAGCATCAGGATTTTTTTTAAAGCTTCCCAGGTGGTTACAATGGGCAGCCAAGGTTGAGAGCTGCCGAAATAGTTAGATCTAGCGGGCCAGTGACTGAAATCACAATGTCTCTGAGCCTCTGAGGGATTCCTTATTTCCCATGGAATTATTCATTTATGTGTATGTGTGTTTTCAGGAGTCCAGTAAGAATTACCCCTACTTCTGCCCCTATTAAGCTCTTACCTTATGTTAGACACAGTGTTAAACTTTTATTTTTAGAGATACAGTGGACTCGAACAACATGGATTTGAGAAGTGCAGATCCACTTATACATGGATTTTTTTCCAATAAATACTGTATAGTACTGTAAATGTATTTTCTCTTATGATTTTCTTAATATTTCTCTTCTCTAGCTTTATTGTAAGGATACAGTATTTAATAAATATGAGTTAATTGACTGTGTTGGAGGTAAGGCCTCCAGTGAACAGTAGGCTTTCAGTAGGCTTAACTACTGTTGTTTTTAGGGAATCAAAAGTTATATGCAGATTTTTGACTATGCAGTGAATTGGTGCCCCTGACCCTGGTGTTCAAGAGTCAGCTGTACTTTGTATTAAAAATTTTTTTAAAATACCCAAGTAATAGTGTTTTCTCATTGTAAAGAAGTTCAAATAATATAGAAGTGTATAGGTTAGAAGGGGATGTTCCCTTCCCTACTCTCAACCACTGTGAACACATTGAAGTGAATTTTTCTAGAACTTTCTATATATTTATATGCACATCAGATTAACTGTATAGTTAGGTGTGTATGTTTGTATGTATTACGTTTTTACCCAAATGGCCTTGTGGCAGCATGATTTTATCGTTTGACACTTGCCTCAGGGATCTTTGTATACTACAGCCTATAGTCTGAATTCATTCTCTTGAACTGGTGCCTAATGGTCCATAACAGAGAAGGGCCAGTTTGCTTCTCTCCTCCCTTGTTGATGGGTATTTATGATGTGCCTGTGCAATTTCAAATGGAAGCACTTGGCCATGCCGAAGGTGCCACCGGGGAGGTGAATTCCAGGACTTGGGCCTGTCGAGATGAGAGGCCTCATCGGGTGGGGACAAGGAGGATAGGTGAGGCAGGGAGCTTGGGACCCTGTCGCCTTTCATCCTCTCGATGTGTGGGCTTCCCAGAGCAACTGCCTCTGAAACAGCTTCAGTTGCTGGTCTCCGGGTCATGTTGCTTACAGTTTTCTCAGCTGTTGTCTAGCGATGATCATTCGCTGAACGATAGGGTCCTGGTGATCATTAAATGGGTAAATTCATGTAAAATTCTTAGAAAAGTGCTTGGCATATGGAAGATGCTGGGTGCATGGGCACTCGCTGGTTGGAGCCAGCTCCACCTTCTATAGATGTGTTTCAGTATTTTAACAACCATGTCCTGGCTGACAATCAAGAAAATAAGAAAATGGAGAAGAATAACATTATCATCTCTCCCGTATTTGGATCAGCGGAGTAGGGCCCGTGTCCCTTCTTTGGACACCTGGCAAATTTTTCTTGTTTCTATTTTTTGATTCTAAATTGAGTAGGTTTCTCTAATAGGAATAGGTCTGATCTTACATGATTCAAAGCAGTTTTTTTTCCTTTGATAGAAGAGTTCTTTGGTGTGGTCTCAGAGCCAACAGTAGGGCTCATGGAGGTTACAGGGTCAGCTGTCCTACCCCGAGGAAGGCCCATTTTTAATACATGGTGATTGCGGTGTTGACTGCCCTTTTCTTTGAAGGTGGCCCACATGAAGAGCAAAGACAATCGGATTAAGCTGATGAATGAAATTCTCAATGGGATCAAAGTGCTGAAGCTTTATGCCTGGGAACTGGCATTCAAGGACAAGGTGCTGGACATCAGGCAGGAGGAACTGAAGGTGCTGAAGAAGTCTGCCTACCTGGCCGCAGTGGGGACCTTCACCTGGGTCTGCACACCTTTCCTGGTGAGTGATTCCAGATTTCTCCTGACCTACATTGTTTTAACAGCTGCCAGTCAGCCAGTTCAGGAACTGTTTATTACCGCTCTCCCAGGAGATAAGGGGTTTGCACCAGCATGTAAACCAGTGCTATTTGCTTCCTTCATTGAGAAAGTCTTGCAAGGAAAAGAGGTTAACTAAACTAAAAAGTGTGTTTGTTGCCATGCTTGATCTACATTATGGTGCCGGTGCCTTATCTAGTTACCAGCTGGTCACAGACTGGATAGTCATTGACCCGTGGACCACAGATCGAATGGCACTGCCAACACACTTTCAAATTTACTTTGTTTATTGTCTGCTCTCCCCACTAGAATATCAACTCTACGAGGGGCGGGGATTTTTGTCTTATCTGTTGACTGTTGGATCCTCAGTGCCTAAAAGAGTATGTAGTAGGTACTTAACAAATATTTGTCGTTCACTATAAAAAAAATTCAAATCATACAGAAAGAAATAGAATGAAAATTATATTGTCCTCTTCTCTATCTGTCCCTCTCCTCCAAAGTGATAGTTTTGTATATCTGCTTAGAAAAAAAAAGGTTAAGCATGTAGGTATTAAAAAATATTTTTAATATATTCAAATAGAATCATATGATACATAGTGTTTTGTATCTTTTTTGTACTTCATAATATATCCTCTTGGTGCATGCATTCATATCTGCCTCGTCTGTTTTAATGAAGCAGGCTCGTTCTACATATGGAGGTGCCATGGTTGACTTATCCCATCTCTCGTTGCTGGTCATTTAGATTGATCCCTGGTCTTTGCTATTAGGATCCGTGCTGCTCTGGATATTCTGCTACACATGCTAGGGGTACTTTAACAGATGTGTCGCTGCCTGGCTGGCTTTGAAAAGTTTAAAGACAACAGTGCAAGTTACTGTTTTACAAAGCTGTCTCCAAACCTGTAGACCATGTAGAGATGGACTATGGAAACCTTTTAAGCGCAGTTGATAACAGTTAACAATGGTTAAGGATGACTTTAGATCGTGTGCCCCCTGCCACGCCTCCCCATTTGTTTTTCTTTATATTATCAACTATGTCATTCTTTTTTTTAGTGTTGTCCTAATGATTATTCTTTCTTAGTTATGTTGGTAAATATACAAGGGTATTTCAAAAAGTTCATGGAAAAATAGAATTAAAAGATAATATGAATCTTTCCGTGAACTTTTTAAGGACCCACATATGTTATTATGGGAAGTTTCTATGAACTAAAATCATGTTTTCATAAATATGAAATTTTTCTATTAGACTACCACCTGCTTTATCTCAGCAGAGTTGCAGGTGGAATTTTAAGGAAACTCCTGCCTTTTCAGCACTTGTGAAAGTGTGTTCATTCTGACACTGGATCTTCTTAGGTTCACCTTAATCCTCCCAAAGTGTGGACCTGCTTGTGGGATGCTGTGGCGGGGGAGAGGCCATGGCGGGGGGGATGCCGTGGCAGAGAGTGTTGGTGCTCAAACTTGAGCGAGCATCAAAATCACCTGGAGTGCTTGTTAAAAACTCAGCTTACTGGGCCCCACCCAGAATTTCAGAGTTAGTAGCTCTAGGTAGGACCTGAGTATTTGCATTCCCAGGTGCTGCTGATGCTGTTGGTTTGTGTCCACACTTTAAGACCCACTGGAGTCGATCCTTGCTACTCAAAGTGTGGTCCACGGACCAGCAGCACCAGCGTCTCTGGCTTGTTTAGAAATGCAGAATCTCAGGCCTCACCCCAGACCGCTGAGACAATCTGATTCATAGCAAGCCCTCTAGGTGACTCATGTACATATTAAGGTTGGAAACACATTGGCAAAAAGAAGGAGTAGTAGGCACACTTTTTCTGTAAAGGGCCAGCTAGTAAATAGTTGAGGCATTCCGGGCCATATGGTCTCTGTAACAAATACTCATCTCTGCCAGGGTGGCACAAAGCAGCCATAGGGAATACATAAATGAATAGGTGTGGCTGTGTCCCCTAAAAATGTATTTATGGACATGGAGATTTTTTTTTTCTTTTGGACTGCTAAGGGGATCGCAACCCTTGGCACGGTGTGGTCTGCACCACTCGTGAGCGCACCGGCCATGCCTATATAGTATCTGAACCCGTGGCCTCAGCGCTACCAGCGCCGCACTCTCCTGAGTGAGCCACGGGGCTGGCCCTGGACACGGAGATTTGAATTTTATATACTTTGTTTGTGTCATGAAATATTCTTCTTTTGATTTTTTTCCCCCAATCATTTAAGCATGTGAAATCCATTCTGAGCTCACAGGCTGTACCTAAACAGGCGTGGGCTAGATGGGACCTTGGGCCATTGTTAGCCAACCCCTGGCTTAGAGGACAGAGTGTTCTGCTGAGAATCAGCACACCTGCTGCTGGCAGCTCATGGTGGGACCTGAAGTGAGTCATGGCACTTCCCCAGCTCTGGCTTTTCTCATGAAAACTGCAGGGGTTAAGTCACAGGGATGGTGAATACCAGGCCCTCCCCTCCCCTCCCCTGCCTTCCCCTCTTTTGCCCACAGCCAACTTCCACAATCAGTCATGGTGTTCTGTCCCACCAATTTATACCCAAGGAACCCTCCAGGTGACCACGGTCAGTGAACTGGAGTTGGCACAAGAAATGACATCTCTTGGCTGTTCTGGGATTCCTTATTCCCCAAGATCCCTTCCAGCTCAAACACCTGACATTGCAGGCTAGAAGGTTAGGCAGTTACTTTCCTCTTACCCTACAGTCCCCCCTGACTTTCCCCCCGGGGAAGTGACAGATTCTCTGTTTTTAAAAGTAGAAGTGTTATGGGGCCGGCCCGGTGGCGCACTGCTACAGTGCGCCGCTTGGGAGTGCAGTGGCGCTCCCACCGAGGGTTCGGATCCCACATACGGACCGGTTCCCGCTCACTGGCTGAGCGAGGTGCGGGCGCGGCACCGGGGTTTGCGATCCCGTTGCCGGTCCCGGTCCGGTACGGGCGCGACACTGAGGATTGCGATCCGTTGCCGGACACGAAAAAAGACAAAAAGGAAAAAAAAAAAAAAAAAGGTAGAAATGTTATCAGGATGGGTGGTACTTACTTAGTGTTCATTTTACTATTTTTCTTTAAACTGTTAAATAGTCTCCACATGTTAAATATGACTGTGAAATGTCCTCTTTTGAATATGTGATGCATTTTATTTTAAAAATAGAAAGTAAGGCATTTGCATGGTAAAAATAAGTTGCGCCAGATGGTCCACATACAGCAGGGTTTCTGACCCTCAGCACTGTTGACGTTTGGGAACAGATAATTCTTTGTTCCTTTGTTGTGAGAGGCTGTCCTGTGCATTGTAGGATGTTTAGCAGCATCCCTGGCCTGGTCCCACCAGATGCCAAGTAGTATCTCTCCCCACTCTTCCCCAGTTGTGACAATTGAAAATGTTTCCAGGCATTGCCAGGTGTCCCCTTGGGGGCAGACTCCCCCCAGTTGAGAACCGCAGGTCTATTGTGAAAGGTCCAGGGCCTTTGTACGCCCCATTCACCTTGCTCTCCCCCACACCAGTTTCTTGGGTGTATTTCCAGAGTCTAGATATATGTCAGTGTAACAATGGATACATGTCATAAATACAGTTATACTTACATATCTCTTTTATTTACTTTACTTTTACACAAGTAATTACAAATCATACAGAAATCCTTGCCATTTTGAGTTGCCTTCTCCTGTATAAAAAGATCTGCAGCCAGACGGTGTAGGTGACAAGCTTCAGGTTGTCACCCTAACCTGCTGGTCTCCATTAGGAAGCCACACAAAAGATGCCTAAGAGCAGGACTGGCTTTTCTTGACGTCTGAATTTGCCACTGTTTCCAGGTGGGTGAGGAAGGGTGGGGGCCATGGGCTTCCAGAGACAGAATTTGTTGAGCTGTTTGGCAAGAAACAGATGAGCCAGGGTGTCAGCAGGAGACCTTGGCCCTGGCCGAAACACCGAAACCTCTGACTACATTAGGATAAAATATGTGGTCTTTGGTTCCCTTGGAAGGTGTTGGTATGTTCTTTCCACTGGCAAATTCCTATGCTTCAGGATGATGAGGTGTTTACCCAGCAGTAGGTGTGATGGAAGACAGGCCTGGGGAGGTCAGACAAGACTGGGGATGCCATCCAGCGGGATTGATGGGACTGTTTTTCTGGAATACAGAGCCTGACGTTTATCATGTTGTCTTAATGCATTTTGCTAAAATAGCATTCCTAGGTAGCTGTCAGTATTTAGCATTTTCTGTCTTGGATGATTTGAGAGTTTCTTTCCTTCTCCTTACCATGTATCTCCCTTCATTGGAATAATTACCATTCCCTATGGGAATTATCTGTTTTGTAGGTCTCTGCTGACGAGGTGGTAAGGTCCATGGCGACACGGACCTTGTCATTTTATGCTTGTTTCCCCAGAGCATTGGGGACTTGGCAAATGGTGCACATGCAGTAAATGTATATAATGAATGCATGAATAAACAAAAGTGTTGGGGGCCTGAAGCTCCACACCCCTTCTGTGTCTGGCTTACAAAAGAATGAAAGATTTAAATAAATTGAATTAGGAACTGTCTTGCACATGACAGAATCCTAGCTTAAATGAGCTAGAGTAAAAAAGGGGGATTTTTGAGTCATAAAACCGAAAAGTCTACGAAAGTACCTGTAAGCATAGCAAGGGTTTCAGGCATGGCTGAATTTAGGTTCTCCAGAGACAGTGTTGGGAACAACTCCCTCTCTGCCTCTCAGCTCTGCTTTCTCTATGTGGTTTCTTTGTTGGCCAGTAGCCCTGGACCATCCTGTCATCTTGCAACTCCTGTGAGCAGAGAGCCCCATTTTTCCCCCAGTAGTTCTGCAAAGCTGTGGGATTGAATCTCCTCGGGTATGGTTGGTCACATGCGTATTCCTGAACCAGTCACTGGGGCCAGAGAAGTGGGGTGCTTTGATGGGCCAGGCCTGGGTCATGTGGCTTCTGTCAGAGTTTGGGGCTGTGGAAGTGGGAAGGGGTTTCATACGTGGCTGAAGCTCAGAGATTGAGAATGGGAGAAGTTCACTTCTCTGAAGGAAAATTGGGGTGTTACCAGAATCAGAATAGGTGCTAGACAGGCAGAACAGAGGTCTGCACAAAGAGGCATCAGGGTTTTCAGGGGCTGGGACAGAGTTTAGAGTTTGGATTCATTGGTTTTCCATGGGACAGCTCTTCATTGTGTGTGAAGGACCTCTTGCACTGACCCTCACTTGTTACAGGGCCGTGGTGAACTCCTCCACTTGCCCGTACCGCCATCCCACTTGCCTCAGCACGTGTCCGAACACAGCCTGCTAGAGAACCTGGTTAATAACTGTGTTTCCACTAGACCGTGTATCTCAGGATTGTCAAGCCTGCTCACTCCTCAGCACCCAGTGCCTGGCACACAGTCGGTGCTCAATTAATAATTGTTGGGTGGATAGATGACCTCCACGTCGCGGAGAAGAAGCCAGGGCCGTGGACCAGATCTGATGGGGCTACATGATGTTGCCACCTCTTTGTGGACCCTGTGCGGACTGCAGCTGGCATTGATTGGGTTTCTGGTCGTCAAGGGGGCTGGTGTGTTCTGGGGATGAGATGCCCGAGGCCTGGATTTCTTCACTGCTGTAGAGACTTCTGAGTGTGTGCTCCCCTGCCCTCAGGCAAATTCATCCTCTCGCCGACCCATTCATCCGTCCACCCACCACCAACCCATCCACCCAGTGAACATTTACAGAGTATCTGCTGTGATCCACACACTGTCCTAGGCACTGACAATAAAGCAGTGAACACTACCGATAAAAATCCCTGCTCTTATGGAACATTGATTCTAACAGGGAGAGGAAGACAAGAAGCAATAGACACAATCAGTAAATTATATAGTATGGTAAACCATCCTAAGTACTATGGAAAAAGAAAGATTTGGGTCCGAGCCATAGGGAGGGCTTGGGTTTAAAGTAGGATGGTTGAAGGCTCACTGAGAAGGTGACACTTGAGTGAAGATCTGATGGAGATGAAGGGGCCAACCAGGGAGAGAAAAGTGAGTGCAAAGGCTCTGGGGCAGGACTGTGCCCACCCACAGGTGGAAGACTAGAGCAGGGAGAGAGTCCAGAGTGCTGGGAGAGGAGGTCAGACGAGGGGTAAACTGAGTGCAAAGGCTCTGGGGCAGGACTGTGCCCACCCACAGGTGGAAGACTAGAGCAGGGAGCGAGTCCAGAGTGCTGGGAGAGGAGGTCAGACGAGGGGTGGGAGGTCAGACCAGTGGGGTGGGCCCTGGGACCGGAATCAAGACTTTGGCTTCTCAACAGAGAATTGAGTCAGTGGCTGACTTTGGAGAGTTTTTTTTCTTTTATTAAATTCAGTTTTTTAATTGAGATATAATTCATCATTTGTAAATGTACACTTCAGTGGTTTTTCACATAGGTTGTGTGACCATCACCACTAATTCCAGAACATTTTCATCACCCCAGAAAGAAACCACATACTCATGAACCCTCCCCAGTGAATTGTACACCAATTCCTCCATTTCCCCCAGCTCCTGGCAACCACTAATTTATTTTCTTACTCTGTGGATTTACCTATTCTGGGTGTCTCATGTAAATGGAATCACACACCAGGTGGCTTTTTGTGTCTGTCTTCTTTCGCTTGGCATGATGTTTTCAAGGTTCATCTATTTTCTTACTCTGTGGATTTACCTATTCTGGGTGTCTCATGTAAATGGAATCACACACCAAGTGGCTTTTTGTGTCTGTCTTCTTTCGCTTGGCATGATGTTTTCAAGGTTCATCCATGTTTTAACATGTATAAGAATTTCACTCCTTTTAATAGCTGAATAATATTCCATTGTGTGGACATATTTGAAGTATAGAGAATCTTTGGGTGAGAGACCAGTGCGTCGTTACTGCTTAGATGGGGGGACATCCCAGGGATCGTGTCAGTGGCCTTTTGAGGACTTCCACTTCCCTCTTGGCGGTGGAGCCTGGAAAATTTCAGTGCCTTGCCTCAGGGTCAGCTGGCTTGTTAATGTCAGAGCCAGGACAGGAACCAGCTCTGCTTGCTAGTGCCTTGTTCTTGGGACCAGGTTAATAGATTCTTGGAAGGAATGGTTCAAGGAGTTTGGACTGCATCCTGTAGCAAGAAATAAAAACAGCTGCCATATATTGAGTTTTACTGTGCCGCGGGCCTTGTGCTAGGCACTCAACATAAGTGCCTTATTTCTTGCTGCCAGCAGCCCTTGAAGGCGTGTTGTGAATCCCCATTTTATAGATGGGAAAATAGAGGCTCGCTTGGAGAGGTGAAACGACACACCCAGGATCACACAGCTGATATGCAGCAAAGCGTGTGGTTTTAATTTTTAAGTTGTCTGACTTTCCAGTAGGTAACAATAAAATGACACAGCTGAGACCCTGAAAATACACAGGATCCCAAGCACACCAGAGGCAGGGCTCCAACGCACGTCTCCTGACTTCTCAGCAGTCTGTCCTGAGCTCAAAGAGGCAGGGACCTGGGGGGTTAATTTCCCCCAGGAAAAGCCTTTAATGCCGGGGAGCAGGGGTTAAGATGGGGGTAGGGCTTTTATCCATCTGCCAGGGTCCAAAGTTTTCCAAATTGCTTATGATAGTGTGTACTGGGTGGTCTTCTGGAATCCTATGATTAGTCCCGCCTGGGGACACCTGGTGTGGTGCTTGTCTTCAGCAGCGAGGAGGGACGAGCCAACCCAGTTCCTACGGCCACAGAAATCCATCATTTGCTCCTTACCTCCCTCCTCAACAAAGCAGCCCCACCCAGGGGGGCCCTCCCGCCTTTCCCCTGACTTTGGGTACGATAACCAAAGCCAAGCCTCGTGTAGTAAAATTCCAGGAGCCACCATGGGGCTTCGGGCGAGTCTGACTGTTTTTGGGAGAGGGAGTGGCTTCCCAAGATCTGCTGGCTGCTTTCCTTTTTTTCCCCCCTAAATAACAGAATTTATTTTTATAGCAGTTTTAGATTTACAGAGACATTGAGCAGAAAGTACAGTTGAAGTGTTCCTTTCCTCGGGGTATAAAATCATGTACTATATGAGCTAGAAGGAACTTTAAACAGTGGCATTTATCCTCCATCCCCATTTCACAGATGAAATCATGGAAGCGCTGGGAGAGGAGGTAAACCTGCCCAGGGTCTGTCTTAGTGTCCCCAAATGCCAGGGATCGTTCTAGGCAAGAGGACACAATCGTGTACAAATCAAAGCCACTGCCCTTGTGGAGTTGGCATTTCAGGACAGGAGACGACAGTAAACACATATGATATTAGGATATAAGGTAGTGATAGGTGCTGTGAAGAAAAATAGACCAGGGTGAAAGGACAGAGAGTGATCGTAGTGCTGTTGGGGGTCAAGTGCTAGGGGCAGGCTCTCTGAAGGGTGAGAGGGAGTCACCAGGTCACCGTCTGGATGGGAACATGGTTTCAGGCAGAGGAAGCTGTGGGGGCAAAGGCCTGGAGGTGGGTTGTGCTTGGTGGTGTTGAGGATACAGAATGCCTACCCGGTGTGTCGATGAGAGAGTTGGTGGGACAGGCCAGGACTTTCGGTTCCTGGTCATTCATTCTAGCATTTAGTGAGCACCTGCTGTGGGCTTAGACACTGGCCTGGGCTTTTCCACCACCTCCAAGCTGCCTGTTGCAGCGTGGGGAGGGCCCACACGTGCCCCCAGGGGAGTGTGACTGCTGCAATTGTGCCTTTCGCCAGTCAGCTCCGGGTGGTCTGCTTGCAGGTGGCCCTGTGTACATTTGCCGTCTATGTGACCGTCGACAAGAATAACATCCTGGATGCCCAGAAGGCCTTCGTGTCCTTGGCATTGTTCAACATCCTCCGCTTTCCCCTGAATATCCTCCCCATGGTCATCAGCAGCATCGTGCAGGTACAGGGTGAGGCTGGGGTGGACTTCAGACAGGGGGACTCCGAGGTGGGGGGCACAAGCAGAAAGGCACAGAAATTCCTCCCAAGGCGGCTCCTTCCATGTTACACTCCCTACTGTGCCTGGTGGGCCTGCAGGGCCCGGACTGAGGCTGTCGTGCTCTTTTGGTCATGCCCCAAAGAAAAATACATTTTACTCTTGACACAAAACTCACACTTGAGCATATGAACAGAAGTGTAGTGCAATAGGGTTTTCCCGTGAGCCTGTAAAAGTTTTTCTGGAACATTCTATCCTATTCTATTTTACCGTGGCCTATCCTATTCTATCGTCTTTTATCAAAAATGTGGCTCTTGACTCACTTGATTGATTTTATAACCCACCGTTAGGTCTTGACCCACCCATTGAAAAACCCCAACCCAGACCCCGTGGGGAGTTCCTGAAATTCATGCCAGTGAGTCTGAGGAGCGGAGGCTTGCTGCTTGGTCACGCTCCTGCACTCTTTGATGCTCCCACCACTTTTTTGCTAGTATTTTTCACGTCCTTCTCCCTCGCGTTGCACACATTTATTTTGAAAACTCCACTTTCACAACACGTAGAGGAATGGACCTTAAGATTTCATTGTATAACTCTGCTCATAGGCTTTATCAAAACCAAAAAAACCCCTATTATGAAAAATGTCGAATGTGCACAGTATCAGAAAGAATCGTACCCAGGTACCCATTATCCAGCTTGAGCATCACCGTTTTGCCACAAGTGTTCCATCTAATCCTTTCTCCCTCTGCCCTTCGTCCCTCCCTCCCTTATTCCTTCCTTTCTTTGCCAAGGAATTTTAAAGCAAATCCAAGACCTCTTGACATTTCACCCATAAATATGTCAGCCTGCATTTCTTCTTACATAATTATCGCACCATTATCATACCTGACAAAATTAACAGTAATCTCTTAAAACAATACTTGGTTCATATTAAAGTTTCCTGGAGTATCTCAGAAATGTCTTCCCTGGGGGGCTGTCTGAATCAGGGTCTGTCACCTCGGGTGGTTGCTCAAGTGTCTTTGCCTCTAGGTCAGTCCCCTGCCCTTTCCTAATGCCTTTTGTGAGCTTTTAAGGAAAGCAAACAAGAAGCAAAACCCGTTTTATTTTGTATTCTAAAGTGTCTGCTCATCGTAAGAAGTGCAGAGTCTTCAGAAATGAGAGTGGATATGGGCCCCTGCATGCCCAGGGGAAACCACTGAAAGTTAGCCTCGGTTTGTTTTGCAAAAATGCTTTTAAAAATAACTGTACCCTGTCATTGCTCTCCGTGTAGGCAAGTGTCTCCCTCAAACGCCTCAGGATTTTCCTGTCGCACGAGGAGCTGCAGCCCGACAGCATCGATCGGCGGCCTGTCAAAGACGGTGTGTGCGTTTGGTCCCGCTGGGTGGGGATGGCTATCTTCCCACCCCCACCAGTCCCCTTGCTGGCGTTTCCTTTCCTTGGCTGCCCGTGGGTTGGCTTTGCCCAGCAACTTGTCTGTGAGATCCCAGGGAGCAAGGCCTCTGCAGAGTGGGGTGCATGGGAGGGGAAGCCAGTCCTCCCAGAACCCTCCTGAGGGCTTCTTGCTTATCTGGCCCATTCCAGGAGGGTGAACTTGACCTTTTGCCTTATTGGGAAGCAGCTCCTGAATGAGGGCTCCCCCCCCCCGGGGGTCAGGTTCCCATTCTGGGCACCAAGGACAGGCAAAATCAGAACTCTGGAGACCGATCAGCCTCCACCACCCACTAGTCATGGATACTTATGTCTGAGTCTCGGTTTCTTCATCTGGATAATGGAATGAAAATACCTTTCTTTCTTTCTTTCTTTCTTTCTTTTTTTTTTTGGTGGCTGGCCAGCATGGGGATCTGAACCTTTGATCTTGATGTTATAACACCATGGTCTAACCAACTGATCTAACTGGCCAGCGAAAGCACCTTTTTTTGACAGGTTGTTATACGGGTTTTTATTAGTAAGTTTGTTTATTTTGAAGCTTGTTAATTTATCCTTCCCCAGCCAATCCTGATGAACAGTTGTGGCTGTCTCTCCAGGTGCTTAATAATAAATATTAATGGCACGAGGAGTAGTGACACTTTCACTATATGACGCTCGTGCTGTGTGTGATCTCTTCAAAGGACAGTAAGTGTTGCCTCACTGAGATTTACTGAGCATCTACTATGTGCCAAATGCTCTTGGAAGTGCCCCGTGTGTATCGCCTCATTTCCTGCCCCCCTTATCCCTCTGAGGTCGATTCCATTATCATCAACCTTGTTTTGCAAACAGGAAAATGAGGTACAGAGAAATCCAGTAACTTGCCTGTGACTGTCCAGCCTGGCAGTGGTAGCACGGGAATTTGAACTCCCA